CAAGTAGCGAAACATCTCTAACCAAAAAGAAGAGAAGTCCAGTTGCCATGACTACAGTATGGCAAAGGATTGATGGAAAAAATGGATATTGAGCCCAATGAATCAAGATTATTCTTATGTTTTTATGTTAATCAAAGGCTCAGGGAAAGAAAGGAGCTGGAGAATATCTCTATAATCTTAAACTGCCTTCCTTATCTTCAGTATTAACCCAACCCAGGTTCCATTCTCCCTGGTTTCTCTAGGACTACTGGAGAGTGCAATGATTGGGTAGTGATTGCTGAAAGTATATGACCTCCACTCATCCACTTTCACTCTGAGATAATAAGCAAATGGAATAAAATATATAATATATTGTACCTACTCAATTTATATACTATTGCTTGAAAGTGTTGAAATATTCTCAATTTAATCTTTAAATATATAACAGCAGCATGGAATATGGTAACCTTTTTTGCTATATTGTCGTTTGGTGTTTGTGAGAGTTGAATTGGTTGATTTTTTTTTTTTTTAATGCTCTGTTGCCTGGCATTTTTATGATTTTGGATTGGTTATATACAGGTAGTCCTTGCTTAACAACCGTTCATTTAACGACAGTTTGAAATTATGACAGCCTCGGAAAGGGTGCTTTAAGGCCTGTAAAGCACTTCCAGCTGTTGTAAAACATGGTGCCACCCCACCCCCATGGTCATGTGGCCTCTTTTTGGGCACTTGGCAACCGGCTCACATTTACAACCAGTTGTCAAATGCCCCGTGATCTTGAGATCACCACTTGCAATCTTCTCTGCCAGCTTCCCCTCCCCTTTCAGTGGTGCAAAGGCACCTCAAATCTTCAGGTGCTCTGTTCACTACTGAGACAGGGGAGAGGAAAGAGGACAGAGCAAAACAGCTGCCTGATGAAGGATTTCAGCTCTGTGCAGAGCTGAAATCTTTCAGCAGACAGCTCTTCTGCTTTGTCCACTTAACATCCTGGGAGATTGTTTAACAACTGTAACTCGAAGTGCCTGGACTGCAGTTGTTGAGCGAAGCAGTTATGTGGGCATCTCGCTTAATGACTGCTTTGCTCAACAACTGAGTTTCTGGTCCCAGTTGTGGTTGTTAGGCAAGGACTACCTGTATAAAAAAAGCTAATCTGAAAACTTTGAATGTCACTAGTAAACACTATGTTTCTTAAAGTCCTTTTTAATTAAATTAATGTCTTTATTAATACAAATATGAATCCTGTTTTTAATTCTGCAATTTTAATGTGTGGCAAAGGTTAACTAATCTTGAATGTTTTCTCCATATTTCCCATATAATCAGACTGTTGTTTGAATTAGTGACCTGTGGCTGATATTGTTGATTGGGGATTACATTGAGTGTGGGGCTTCATAGGTAAAGTCATCTTGTAAGAAATGGGTATGCCCTTTATTTACTCCTTGGCTTTGAAATTTGACATTGCTTATCTTGAATTTTTTTTTTTCCTGTTTACCATGAATGTTCTCTTTTTAGCCAAGAAACTGTACTATGATCTTTCCAAAATCATGTTAATTTATCATTGATTTGTCCATCTGAATGAAAATGTTCCAGCATTGGGAGCTTAAGAGTTCAAATGATCCCCTTTCCTCTATAGACTTCTAAGCTTTGCTGGCTTTCAGCACTGTAATGAAACATGGAAAATGACTTATCACTATAATGGCTTCTAGAAAGTAATCTGGAGGACTGCCTTACTTTTAAAATAGCCTAAAAGGATATCTCTAATAAAATTGTTAGCCTCACCATTACAGGAATTACAACTCTTTGCACTAGTTTTTCTGTTTGGGCATTCCTGAGCTCCACAGCTGACTGAGATTCTTGAAACAAATCTGTGAAAGGAAGTGTGTAGAATTAAGAAATGGTCACTTGATTAATTGAATGCATATTTGCAAATGATTATACAATGGATTATAAAATGCAAAACAGCATGTAAAGTTTAGATATGCCTCACGGCCACATGTGGCTTCCAAAAGTTGTTACTATATTTTTTAATGTGACCCAAAATAAAATGTATAAAAAATATGACCAGAGAAGAATCATTATTTAATAGCCCAGAGCAGTTTTGGAGGGCTGATACAAAAATGTTCCGTATGAACTGAGATTGTGCCCCTGTGGACAAGGGGCTATTGAAACTACAGCTCATGTCCTGTTATACTGTACCTTCTGTATGGACTCATGGACCCATTTTATAACTCCCTATTTGGTAAAATACTCAGGGAATTCTGATCTTTTTAACGTACAGTTGTTGCTATCTGATCAGTATGATTCAGTTTCTTTGAATGTAGCTAAATTTTGTT